CCACGGGGCCGTTCACGTGGGGATCTTGTAATTCAACCTGTGACTTGGTTTATAGAGATTGGGGGATACCACTACAGTCAACCTAAACGCATGTGATCATGGAAGTCGGTTGTCACCACCTGCCCCCGGGCTGCTTTATGTACCTCTCTCAACGGGGGGGTACCCCGCGGACCTTGGAAAGGGACGGAGGACGAGGAAGGCGAGCCGTGCCGGGGGGCGGCAGGGAAGCGATGGGCTGTGATGGTTTTCGCGCAGGCGTGTCTGCCCCCCCCCCCAAGCGACCGCACATCCCAGCGCGCTGTCCGGCCGACTCCTCGGGGCATTTGCCGCCTCAGCGAAGCCCCCTATGGGGTCTTGGCAACCGAAGGGGAGGGTGCGGGGGGGGGGGGGGCTTAAAGGAGACCAATGAGCGGTAAGTGATGAGTGAGGGGTATATATTTGGGTGGACTTTTAATCGAAGAATATTCATGTCAAGACGGCACATTCACGGCTCGAAGGAATAATGAAAGCCCCTCCAAAGGGACATCTCTCTCCTGGGGGCCGATCACAGCCGGCGCAGATGGAAGAGAGGTGTGTCCCTCCTTTCCGGGCCCCTCGTCCCACTTCGCGATCTCCCCTGCCTGCGATGGGCTCTCACCCTCGTCACACAACGGCAGTCAAGCCCTTCCCCGCCCTCACGCGCGCGCTGGTTTCGAGTGTCTGCACATGCGCGCTGCCACCAGTCTTTCCCTTGCCTCGAGTGTCTGCATTTTTGGCTGTATTTGGTGGTTGGAAGGACAGGTGGAAACAACAAGATCGTCCTTTTGGAATTGGAGGGGTCCCTCCCCGCGTGGCTCCATCAATCCTGGTCAGTTTCCCTCTCACGCAATGGCAAGAGGGGAGGGAGGGGGGGGCGGACGATATGACACAGGAGAGGAGCGTTGTGAGGCGGGTTTACCTACGCCCGTATGAGTGTGTGTGTGTGTGTGTGTGTGATTGGTGGTGGTGGTGGTGGTGGAGGGGGGATGCCCCGCGATCAAGGTGCGCGAGCTCGCCGCCCCTGTCGGGTCTCGGGCAGGCTCACTCGGACTCGGGGCATGTAACTGCGCGTGTTGTGGGTGCGTGAGTCCAGCCCCAGATGCGAGGACAGACACAGACACGCAGACACACACGCTCCGCATGAGGGGAGGAGAACTCCCAGGTGGGCATATGGCCACCTCTGCCCCTCAAGAGCGCTTGACAAGCTGGCCGCCCACCGAGTGGAAGAGCATCTGGCCGGGCTGGCTTCGGGTGCCGGTCTTGGGATTGTAGGCATGGCTCAGCGTGTAGGGCGGAGAGTAGAGGTGCAGACTAAGCGAGGGAATGTCGTTCGAGGGGTTGTGGACCTTGTGCAAGCCGATGCGATCTGGGTCGCATTCGCATGGGCCGTGCGTGTATCGAGGAGGGCGGGGGAGAAAGAGAGTGAGACAGGGAGAGAGAGAGAGAGGATG